AGTTTCTTCTCTCTCTCTCTCTCTCTCTCTCTCTCTCTCTTTCTCTTTCTCACTTATTCTGTACGCGCGTCTCGTCATCGTTTTTTCCTTTTTCCCATGCCATCACTTTTTCTCCCACGCTCGTCCTCGTCCCTTATATATTTACGTACTGATAGATCGTTATATCGGCGTTTGCATATATATTGATGTTGCTGTCTCTCCTGCGATGACGCGTGATATATGTGCTATAGGGAGTACGAAAAACGCGTACCTATATCTTTGCAACAATTCTTCAATGTTAAATACCTGTTGTTACAATAACTTAATATTACTATACATTTAATTATGTATGTCTAATGACACGATAAAGCACTCTTGTCACATATGCAAACGAAAATTTAAGTAGCGCATTTTATAAGAGATCCAGAAACTATTTAATATTGACTAGGTCATGGTTCTTCTTTCAACGAGTCATTATAATTAATCAAAAGAAGTGCGTACTAAAAGTAGCGTTTCCTAGCATTAAAAGTAAACCATCTTTCATCGCCATTTTAGCATAGCAACCGGCAGTCCACGAGTAGGGCTCGACCTGTCAATCTTACGAGATCACGGAGACGGGTCTTTGCCGTCCTTGCTTCTCTGGAAAGGAGAGGCTCGCTTTTCGTACCTAAAACTCCTTTCCCCACTTCGACCCTCTTTCAACTTTTTTCTTCTTCGTCGTCTGGGGTAAAAGCGAACTCGTTAGACGCTCCAAGTGAAATTTTCTCTCGTCCCGCTGGGTAGCTAGTGTACCACCGGAAATACTATGGAACGCCTACTTTCACTACCGCTTCTTAAATTCACTTTGTCCCTTTTTCACATTTGTTTCGAGGATCAGTTAAAAATTATTGCTCAGCTTTTTCTGAAAAAGATGTGATTAGAAATTAGAGATGCGATTTTTTAATAAAATAAATCACGCAATGCGAAATTTAAGACATTTCTTACTCAAATATAAATTTCTGATTTTCTTTAAATACAATTCAAAGATGGAAACTGTTTAATATGCAGCCGTATAGATTTAAACGACCGATAAGAATTTAATAAAAATTTGATAAAAAATTTGATGCATAATAATTATGGCGTAATAAAAGCAGATATGATTGTTAAACGGTCAATAGGGATAGGGAAATCATTGGTAAAGCGAACGTGAAGTAAGAGATTGTTACCACAGGGATATATACGTAAAGGTGAGCTGGT